AATAGTAATTACTATAATTACTATTATTATTATTACTATTATTATTATTATTATTATTGTCATTATTATTATTAATAATAAAAGAAAAGTAAGGAGACAAACATGAGACTACTTGAAAAGAAATGGTCATTCATTCACTGACTCAAGAACCGGTCAGTCACGTTTTTGTTTTCTTTTTTAGCCTTTGCAGTTAAGGCATGCTCATTAGATCTAAAAGTAGCATGTTTAACAGTTTTCTCGACAATATTTGTAGAATTGTTAGGACGAGTAGAAAAGTGACAATCTTCAGAGCTCTGAAGGCCATAATATACACAGAACCAGAGTTACAGACATCAGCTACTACAACATCCAAAAGAGCAAGGCAGCGAGCTATGACCACAAGAATGTCTGACAGTACGCTGCAATCTGCGGGCTGAGCTGAACCACACTTTCTGTTAAATACAAGTTTCTGAGATAATTAAGCTGCTTTGTTATTTACCAGCTGGGCTGATTTTGTTATCTGCACTCACTGGGACTATAACTGAGATGTGAAGTCGCAGGTAAAACTGATCAATCTCAGTTACTCCAAGTCAGTTCCAGAAGCTTCTGGAGAAACTAGCATCTGCTCCATAGTGTTTCACCTTTATTAGAATCCACTGGCAAAGCAAAAAAGGGTGCAATGGCTATTATACAGCTAAAGTGGAAACATTATTAAAACTGTGCAATATTTTTTGTGCAATATTGTGCAATTTTTCATCTTCACCAGTAAATTTTTATAACATCAGCAGCCATGGTGCATTGATTGTTAGATAAAATATGAAATCTCTGACAAGCTAATACATATTAGTTTGAAAGTACAAACAAAAGCTTGCAAGAAAGCATATACACACAGAGCTGCAGAGTTATAGATAAAAGCGGTTTAATGCATGTAATTTCAAACACTTTTACGTGGAATAGTCTACTATAGGAGAAGAAGAGGCATGTAAGTGTTTGAATCTTTTCCTCTGAAAAACAGAAAAGGTTTTCTGAACTGCATGACAGATGATAAAACACTTACTTTTCTCTGGACAAAGATTTAACAATCCGTCCAGAGGATGTGACCACAGGATAGGCCCAATTTCTTAGAGCAAATTTTCCGTAATATGTCAACTTGATTGTGCCATATTAAAAGATAAGTTTAGTTAAGTGAAGAACCTTCTTTCAATTTGTTTAGGAATTACAGATTTCACAAGTCTAGGTTCTTCATATTTCTTCATATACAAAGTATGATTACAAAAGTTTGTTGTAAACGTATGAAGTCTAAATATCAAAATATTTTTCCAAATTCATTTAGATGTTTTTACACATGTATCCAGACATAGAAAGTCATTAGTTTCATACTTGCCTTGCCATACATATCCAGACTTCATTAGACCACTTTTTAAGAAGTCTTAATGTCCACGACAGCGATGAGAAAGACACTTTGGCTTTCCATTTATTTTCTTTTTCTGGATGTCGCCTCAACTGCAACCACACTCCACTACTCGTTTATGTTCAGTAAGGACAACTGTTTTACTTCTTGATCTTTAATGTTTAATGTTCATACAATAAACAGTAAACAAGAAGTTTAACCTTTAGGCTCCAGCTTCCAGACAGTACTGGACGAAGTTTAAAAGAATCAAGAAGTATAACCAATTAATACTTCAATTGATGAAGTATTAATAGAGAATTTTTAAGAACCAACCAAGCCAAACAAGATTGACTATTATTCTAAAGCTTTCTCCCTGTTTTTTTATTATTAATTATTTCTTTTTACAAAATTAAAGAAATTTAATCCAAACTTCTTTTTTTATACTAATACATTACAATGAAAAGAGCTGTATGTAACCGTCAGTAGCAATTTTTGATATCAGCCATACGGGCAGTTGCTCAGGGTGGCATTTCAAAAGGGATGTAGATATAAGTGGCAATGCACCACATTTTATCCCAGCCCAGAGCCTCAGATACGTTCCTGCATTGTAATTGGTTGGAGGGCAGCAGAAGGAGTCATAGGCCTTGGACACATTGCATGCAAGAGCCACCACCACAAACAGCTAGAATGCAGTGACTGAACAGATGAACAGCTGATTAAGAGTAAACAGTGTCACGCTAAAAGTCAATTACAGCCGATGCTCTTTTTTAATTTATAAAACAATAGCCAGTAACATGCTATGCATGTGTATGCACGCAAATAAAACTGTTTTTTTTAAAGCGCTAAAATATTTTAACTGTAAATATTAAAGTATTTACAGATCTCTAGTAAATAATAGAGTCTTGATGGCTGCAAAAGTGCCTAAAAAAATCCACACACATAAATACACACAACTGTTTTCCTCCTCTGCTCAGACCTCCCTCTGACATAGGAATTCCTTCATGTCGATTGCCAACAAGACTTTTATGTGCCTGTGTCTGTTTCCCCTACATTCCTCATGTGACAGCCTTGAGTAATGACTTCCACATGGCATAGTGAGACAGAAAGAAGAACGCTACTTTCATCTCCATCTCCACCTGTTTCTTATCCCCCATTGTCTGCCTTTGTTCTCACCCTGAAAGCTCTACACTTGTTCAGAGGCTATATATCTGTCAGCCCAGGATGTGACCTTCAACATACCTGGGTATTTAATGTCCCATTTGTCAAATTCAGTGTCACGCTAAAAGTCTTATCAGATGCACTCTCATGCCTCCCACCATAATGGACGTCTTGGACAAGAGACTAGATTTGAGGGAACATTAAAATGCCCCTTGAGAGTACGAATCTTGTTGAGAGCGATTATTCAGAGATGGAAGAAATATGCAATGTCTCGTCTTACGGGAGAGGACGACAAAGGGACAGGTGAAAGATCTGTCCATAACTACACAGGTGAAGCTTTAAATTATCTCACATAAGTTGGGATCACTAGGAGCACCAGTTACGTACAGTACAATGAACTGGACTCATATTTTGAAGCTGTCTGATTCAGAGGCAGAGGAGAAAGTGTTTAAGAAAAAAATAAGATGCAAATGCAATTAAACTGTTAGGTAAAGTGCTTTGTTTCTGGATTATTAAGTGATGTTCTTTGGTTGCTTGAGTTATTCTTCCATCTATGAAAAGTTTGAGATGCTTCTTGTAAATGTAAGCCAACACTGTTCAGTGTCAGTGTAAAAACTGTACATCTGGAGTCAACAGGTCTAAATTCAGTAATCTTTTTTTCTACATAAGTTGCTGAACTGCAAGCTGAAATGTCCAAAATACCTGAATGTACTTGCAACCGAAATTTAAATTAAGGTACAAGTCAGGACCGTGAGCAATTAGAAGGTAAAAGGTTTTGAATCAATCCAATTTTTAATCAAGCCATTAGTTCACTTTAAAGTCTGTCTAATAATATACCGGAGAAAGTTAGAGAAGGACCAGCGCGTTATCTCCCACCTGTTGCTCTGCACTGCAGGCCAACTGGCCGATAGGATCTTAGACCTTTCAGTGTCTCACAAAAATAACAAAGTCGCCAGTTTGGACTATTTCTTGTCACAAAAAATAAAAACAAAACTAACGACTCATTTCTACGACTCGTGCTTAAAAAAAACATCATTCTCGTGTGACGGTAAATGTAAGGCACTAGTAAGTCTCATGTTGGTCACAAGTAGTGATGTTTATCTGTCTCTGAGTCAATGGACCATGAGTGATATCAGTGCATATTCCCTAACCATAAAGTTGCTGTACAGCTCAGTGGAAAGGACACATGAAGGACGTCCCACCCATCTTTTTTTTTACCTGCAGTTCACTGCAGGTACTTTATCAGCTACTCCTCTGCTTGTTAGATGAGTGTCGTCTGTGATTAGCAGAATAGTAGATAGGAGTGACATTCTGCTACTAAATTCAGTTGTTCATAGAAATTTTATGTTTCAAAATCCTATTAACAATAAAAAACTATTACAAATAATGTCATCATAACAGTAACAAACAATATACTACTTTGTGTTAACAGAAACAGAAGGAAAATTACTCTCACTGTCTCCAAAATGTGATTAGATTCGTTTTAACGTTTGTGTAAATCATGCTGAATTTAGTCAATGTTACTGTATGAGAATTTCATACATGTTATATGTTATGTCAATAACATATAACATTAAAGCAACATTTAGGTTTACAGAGACTATCTTTACTGATTAAACAAGTGCCCCCCCCCCCTCTCTTCTCTCTGTGTCTCAAATACATATTGATACTTTTATCCACAAGAGGGCGCCCTATGTAACGGGAGACTGCCAAATACAGGACAAAGTGAAAGACGTGCACTGTTATGCATTGGGACATATTGCAAAAACAACTCCATTATATATGGGTCTTTCATATAACTTATTTTTACTGGTGACAATTTCACAACTAGTCGTGAGTAGCGCATTAACCAGCGTTATTGTATCTTGATGTATTTTGCAGTTATTGTACTGTAGTTTAAATTTGCTGATTGCGTTATTTATCATTTCAATTGTGGATAAAACAATGTTTGAAATGCGTCACAACTTAGAAATTTTGAAAATGAGCTATTTTCGATTAATTTAATCTAAAAAAAAAAAAGCGAAAAGTCTGCCTCTTTGAGTAGCTGGGTAACCTGCAAATTTTCTGCATCAACTAAAGAAAAACAAAAAAAAAAGTTTTCTCTTCCTTCCCAACGCACCAAACATTCATTGACTTTGGGCTACGTTTCCCTAAAAGTCACACACACACACACACTGACAACGCCCCTTTCATCTTGAGCGCCTCATACGAGCTTAGCAAAAATATCCCCGGGCGAAATGCGACAGAAAGGGACTTTTTTTCAAGACTCTAAACTTGACAATAAACCTTTCCAAAATAGATGGGCTACTAAGTCCAGGGCACAAGTTTCTCTCACAGAAATTGAAAAACCAAACTTTACATCTCAATAAACTGAAACTTGCACTCAAATTTTAGTTTTTTTTTGTTTTTTTTTTTCTTTTTTGCTCAACATTTCGGTGAACCGAACATAATCAATTCTGAAGTGTTTACTCACCGAGTTCGGGACGTACGGTTTCCAGAAAAAGGAGGAAATGGAAAGAAAGACAGAAAACTGCCTCCAAAAGCTTTACACGCAGCAGGAACCTTCACTCGAAGCCCCCTCCTCAAAAAACGGACCCCCGGAAAGGAAAGGAAAAAAAGGTCCAGTGGGCTCGCGCTCTCTGACCCCCGGCTGTCGCGAGCGCGTGTGGGACGGCTCGAGAGCTGAAGCAGGGTGTGGTCTCCGTGGTCTCCGGTTGGATCTGGGCTCGGGAGCCGTGCGTAGCGGCGGTACACGAGGACACGATCCAGCGATGGCTTAACGAAGCAGCAAGCTCTGCTTTAACCGAGTGACTCTAGGAAATGAGTTTGTGCGTGCGGGAATGTATTTGAGGGCTCGTGGGAAAAGTGTTTTCCTCACATGTGGAAAGAGAAAGGCAGAGAAAGAGAGAGAGAGAGACAAAGAGAGAGAGAGACGTTGAGTTGGAGGCAGACAAGAGGAAATTAAAGAGATGAAAAAGGGATGGAAAGTCAGAAGCAGGGGATGAAGGTTCAGAAAGAGTGCAGGATCTGGGGAAGGAGGAAATGGAATATGATAGGAATCCTACAGAGAGCCTTGCAGAAGGATTCATGGCCTTGATGTGTTTTCGCATTTTGCCACGTTACACCCACAAAACTGTTATTTGACAGTGGATTTTTTTTTTTTTTATGTGGGTCACCACAAAGCAATACTGTATTGTGAAGTGGATCAAAATATACATGGTTTAAAGTTGTTGTTTTTTTTAAAACTCTTTTTAAAACTAAATATGTTATCATCAGATCACCTGAACCACCTTCTGCTGCAGGGCAGGTAGACCTCGTGTCTTTTAAAACATTTCACAGATACAATCACAACAGTTTAAATTTTTTCCCCGGTCTTCTTTGCAAAATACCTTGAGCTCAGTCAGATTGCATCGAGAAACCAAACCAAACTGAGGACAAACCAGAGACTCAAAGCATCTGAGTCACCAACAGATAAGAGGAACGCAGTCATGGTGGAGGATGCTCATTGAGGGCAATATGGCTACTTGGGAGGGAGTGCATACTGACACAGAACCTGGGAGAAATAACAGAGAACTGCCATGGAAATTGAAGGATCTGACAAGGCGTCGCTGAAGCTAAGGGCTTGAATTAAATGCCAGGAAACAAGACCAGTTCGATTAACTGAATGTATCTGTTCCATGTAGGAACAGGACTAAGTAAAGAAAGAACAATAAGTTAGTAATGAAAACACATCTTGGGCGTACACCCAAGTAAATCAGTGAGCAATGCCGACTCTGCAAACACTATAGTTTCACTTCTGAAAAGTTAACCTCCACTGTTTTTAGTGTGTTGCAGGTTCTAATAGCTTTCTTTCCTCAGTGTCAACCTAAATTTAGCTTTAGATTTTTCACATTAATCTTGGCCAGTTTTCCTTCATCCTTTACATGCACCACTCTGTTTTGCTCTCTCATCTAAGATTTTTAAAAAGTCCATTGAAATGTTTTGGTTGAACACTGTATTAATATTTTTGAAATCCTTTGCTTCTTCTGTCAATTCCTGATTCTGTGTTGGAAGCACTGTGTTTGACTTCTTTGTTTGCATTTTTCTTTTATTCTTGTTTACCTGGGAAGGTCTCCTTTCTGTTGATGTGGTGTTTAAATTGCGCTCAGTGTTTGGTTTGAATAGAAAAGCCGGCCCAATTCCCTGTGGGCGGGCTGCCATGGACATTTTAATAAAAGTTCTGTTGAGGCGCATCATTTCTTAGAGGACAAAGGGTTGGCGTTCTTTCAAAGTGCAATCGCGATAAAGCAAAGCAACCAACATGGAAACATAGATTTTGTCTCTTTAAAAACTTTCATGTCTGTGCTACGACATCAATCGCTGTGCTGACACACATCACCAGCCACTGAACAAACATGTCTCCTGCCAGTTCCTTCTGTCGTTCTTGTTCATAGCAGAAATGGTTTGTTTACAAAGCACAGAGTCACAATCAGCACCAGATGAACGTTGCTGTGCATTCATACTAAAAGAGGGGAAAAGCTGGCAAATCTCTGTCCAGCGTTAACCATGTTGAATGATCCGAATGGCATTAAAAAGACTGAGCGAAATCAGTACTCAAAGTCAAGACAAACTGCTAAATGAAAGTACATAATATGCCAAACTATTGATATGTAGCGAAAACATTAAACATTGTTTGAAAAGCAATGTTTGTTAAAGGAAAGACAAATACAGAAATCACAAGAATTAGAAAATCTCTAAATGTTTTACTGGCCAACAATAATTGAATATGTAATTAAACGTTTACATTTTTTTCTCCTGGCATTGTGATGGAGTACTCTTGCCAACGTATCAGCCTTCCACTGGCGCATAGTTGATATGGAGATGATCAACATATGCCGAAAAACTCTGCAGCACTCAAATATGTAAGGCATTTTTTTTTTAACCTCTGACCTGCAGCCATCAAATGACCAATTATCTGTTTGACCTGGACCAAAACAGCCGTTGTGCTGAGAAAGGTATTCTATTCAGCTGGTCATCAGGAGATGGTTAGTTAGTTAGAACAGCCACAAGGCAATGAAGAGGGCATTGTCATAGCTCAATGCCCTACTCATAATTCCATGCATTTTTCCCGACACGAGTCACAGTGAGCATGAGTGCAGATGGCTTGGCATGATGTAAACAATTTGAAATTGAAGGTTGTTGCTAAAATGAAGTGAGAACCACACAGCTGGCTGGGCAAATGCTGTTAAAGAGGATTAGCTCAAGTGCTGCCAGGGCGTACGAGTGTGAAGTGTTAAGATGTAAAGAGCTTCTGCAGTGGTTATTTCTAAATTTACTTGCACTTTAAAAACAGATGCAATACAGCTTGAACCTTTGGGTTAAGAATGAAACTGGAAAGGCCTCAAGTTAAGCTGCTGTCCCACTGTTTCCCATCATTCTCAGGCGCCTGTGACTACTAAGCAGTCACCCTCCATCCCAGAAAACAGGGAGGATTTTGTCCACATGCTCGCCCCATCGCAGACGCCTACACGGCACGTTGAACTTTGTGTAAGCAAGGGTACCTTGCACATGCAACGCGGTGAAAAGGACTCTGCAGCCATCATGTGTGTCTGTGTCTAACGAGAAAGAATTTGCAGGCGTTGAGGCATGTTGAGACCGCTTAGCTACAATTTCTGGACATATTGGGGAACCCTCCTCTCTATTATTATGTGGGACCCAAAGAAGAAAAAACTTTTTCTTTCCTTTCTTTTTCTTTAGCTGTGTTTAACAGGTTTAACTTTTAGTTAGGCTACACTTATTTTTGGCGTTACATTGGCTACCGAGAAAGTTGCAAGTTTTTAACAGGGTATACAAGTTCAAAGGTTTTCCTCTAAAGGTTTTCAGCTCAGGACAGGAAAGTCATGCAGAAGGTGCTTGCTTGTCAGGTCAGTAAAAGTGGAAAAAACGATTGCATAAAGTACACCATTACCCAGCTCAATGGAGCGGACGGAGTCTCCCAAACAATCTCAGTGGCTCAAGTTAGCATTATGAGGTCGCAATTCCTACAGTTCTGTACAAAGTTTACCAACAGAAAGATGACACTGGTTATGTGCATAACCTACACATCGATATTTTATTACGAATATTGGTTGACAAAAACATGTTTTGTGAATCTAAACATGAAATGAAGAGGATTTTGAGAAACATTAAGTTATATTTTTCAAGTAATTTTATCACTTTTAATGTGAACCTGTTGCGTTTGATGCATGTGCGCGTGTGTGTGTGGGCGTGGGTGTGTGTGTGTGTGTGTGTGTGCGTGTGTATGTGTGGGTGTGTGTGTCAAGATCAAACTGTCGAATTTTCAGCGAGAACTTCATACTAAACCTTGATGTTATGTGACTGTGCCTTGGTGGTGAAATGTTTTTTCACAAAATTAAACATGAAGTGTGATAGATGCTGTGAGTCTCTTCGAGCATTAAGGATGCAGAATTTGGTGTATTTTCTTCAGAATAGATAGAGTGTATGCATCGCATGACATGAAAACAAGAACTGTTATGTCTGGATGAATGTTTTTGTGGTCATGGAAATCCAAAGCAGTGACTCAAATTCATCATAAATCTCCATGTAGTATGTCTCATATTTATGGCATCTGAGTTTTTTTTTTTTCTTTACATTTATCTGGTAAAATATTTTGACATGTCCAAGCAAATCTTCCAAAATTGAATTGTTTATGCCAAAGTATCTGAAGCAGAGGAAAGTAACACTGGAATATTTTTATCGAAGCAGTCAAATGTCGTACACCAATGATGCGCAGGAGACACATCTCAAACTATTCGGTCTCCACGCCCTTATTCTTGTCACAGGAAATATGCTGGTAGGAAGTGATGCAATGTTGTTGAGGCTGCTGTGGAAAAATAAACTCTTTATGTTGAGTAGATTATCAACAATAAATTCTCTTGTCTATTTACCTAATTTGCATTTTTCCCAAAATTGAGTTGAAAGCTTCTTTCAGTCAAAACAAAATTTTTTCACATTTTTATTAGTATTATTTTTGTCTCTTTGTAAGTGGATCCCTGTCCCGTCTAAGCGTCCTGCCCACTTGTTGATCATTTCAATATTGTACAGACGCAACAAAAAGTCCACACATAAACATACAAATACCTCCAAAGATGGCACTTGTTTAGCCAACAAGGTGATCCCATCATCTCCACTTACCCCCACAAACATGCAGACGTATCTGGGAGTGGCAGGAACTGGTTTAACTCCTATGCCTGGGGTAAGGAGACCTGCAGATGAAAGCGTTGCAGACATTAGACATTATACACTCATGCAAATATACGAAGGTTATATTTCCACATCACTGTGGACACATATGGGTTACCTGCTATTGTTGGAGACCTGGCCGAAACAAGAAAGGAATTGTATATCTAGTAAAAGTGCAGGAAATGGGGTTTCTGAATAAAGAGTCTCATCTGAGGCGAAATGTAGATTTCTACATCAAAAGCCACCTTTGCAGTTTCTTGACGTAAAATGCTTTGAACTGCTTTCGAGCATAAACACTGGGCTAACAGCACAACTCGCCCAGAAAATATTGAATTTTCAGGGTTAATTTTTGATATTTTTAAAATCGACATCAAAATATGGTCAAAGCACACAGGCAATGTGTTCTGAACACAGCTGTCTGAAAACGTTGACATTACAGTATACAGTATATCAGTTAAATACAGAATTGAAAACCAAATTTGCTTACATGTTGACTTGCAGCAGATTCATAAATCTGTTTGGTGCATTTTTAGTGACAAGCTTTCCTTTATGTGCTCTGAAAGTTTTGCTTGTTCCTGTTGACATGTGCCTGAGAAAGTGCAGCATTCACCTGTGTTGTTTGCTAATACTGAGACTCTTTCATCATGTGGGAGCCGTGAGGCTAAAGTGTCAGCGCCAGTGTATGTCTTCCACATGTATGCATGCCAGGCCCACTCACTGAAACGCACACATAAAAATCCTCCAAAGAGATCAGAGATCTGCAGCCGGACCGGAAGCGCCCCCCCACCTTCCCTGTTCCTGTTTCTCAC